TCTTGGTTTTCTGAAACAACTATGTCCATTTCTCTTTTATCCAAACCTCACTTAAGGTTCTCCAACAAATCAGCCTCTTTTCTTGGTCCTTACTCTTTCTCCCCTGCTTTAATAGTGATATTATGACTATTTATTTTAAACAGTAACAATGAATGGATGGATGCCAGATTATATGCAATAATTAGGATAAAAGTTGTTAAATGTCCACTTCCCTTTGTGTTACACAAACCTGGCCTAAAACACTGAACATGAAGTGTTCCTGACAGAGAAAAGACATTAACAGAAGAAAAAGATGCTGTGTGGAAAATAATATAATTTCAGTAGTGGCCAGAAAAATAATTGAAAACATATGAAAAATTGGTGGATTCAAGTTAAAAGCTTTCCCTAAAGTGTTCAAGTACCTGTCTATGTCTAGCCTAAATCAACTTTCCCAGGAAACTGAGAGGACAAAAACAAAATTGCGATGAGCCCTGATAGACTTTTATGTGCACTTACATAGATTTAGTGATTAGCTTTTTGTAAATGTCTTTTACCTTGATGTTAGAAAAGTAATGCCACGCCAGCAAAATATTATCTGAAATGTTACAGGAAAACTGTTGATCTAATTATTTGCTCTTCAGCAACCTCACACTTATCAACTTCCTCTTTGCCTTCCTTTGATAGCACTTTCCTGGAGTTGGCTGGTCCTGGCCAGGCCCTCCGCAGACAGGGCCCCCGGCCGTCACATAACCTCCTTGGATACCCTTCCACTGCCCCCCTTACTCTGTTATGCCATGCCACTAAAAGCTACAGACTACACATTTGCTAAGGGGGTGGGGGGGGCCTTCTGCTGTTTCTGTCAGAGCTACGGTCTCTTCTTTCTGTTCCTTCTCTCCATCCCCCACATATCCACTTCTATTTGTAAAAGGCCAAATAGGAAAACGCTGGACTGGAGAAAAAGACCAAATAGGAAAACCTTGGCAGCTGGGGCAGTAGCAATAACCACAAGTTGGAGATTGCTCAGCTTTCCCTGGAAGTTTCAGACTGACAATTGTAAAATCAGCAAAAAATAAAATAGGTCTTCTTATCTTTGTTCAGACCTATGTGGATGTATTTTTTGCTTCCGCTGTGGCTAGGCTGTATGTGCTTCACTAGAGCATGGCTTAGGAGTAAGACGCTCAAAACCTAAGAATATGAAGTATATTGCAGGTTCAACAGAAGTTCAGCCACAAATATAGAGGATGGAGGAAGCTTTGGAAAATATAATATAGAACATCTTTGCCTTTTTATGGTATTAATTTTCTCCCACATCCCTTTCAGTTGTTCTGTGCATGTCTTCTGGCCTCTGTGTCTGCCTGTTTTCTTCTAGCGTTTTCCAAAGGAAACCTTCTGACAGGGTGACACAAATGTCTTCATTTATGACCCATGCCATTTATTTTGCTTATATGCTTGGTTAAATACTGGATTTGGCTCATACTTTCCAAATGGAATTTTATTAAATTCACTATTTTCAAAGTAAAAAGAATAACTCCTCATTTTAAACTAAAAATCTGCATTTAATTAACCTTTCAAGTATAAATAAACACGTAAAAATTAGTAAGGAATATTTAAATGTCTTGAAAATTTGTTGCTTATGCTTTGTACTTTCTTAAGTTTTTCTTGAATTTCCCAAATATTTTTAAAGTCACTTTTCAATTGTTAGAACCTACCATATGTCTGGTAAAAAGAAGGATCAACAACTACTTAGTTATTTTGATCAATGTAGACAGTTTATTGGCATAAGATAGTATAGAATAACAGAATAAAATATTCCACTTAAAATAATACACATTTATAAAAACTTCAGTCACCCAGGGAGTCTCTATTTTTCCTTTTTGCTTGATCTATGTTAACTGTGGATTTACTAATCTAAAATCTCTTTTTGTTTCTGGTAGGTAGAAATCATAAATGTGTTTCCTTCTGGTTTTGATATTGCTCTATGCCAGGTGAAAGTCCCAATAGTTATAGTTAAAAGTAGGCTGATTCTAAGACATACACACTTACCAAGTTTTCTTTCCCCAAAGGAGGCCACACTGTCAGCTTAATTTGTTTCTGTTTTCATGCCACCTGGTGCTACTAAAGAGCATATTGAAAAAAGGTCATTTAATTCCAACAAAATTTCTTGCAGCTTCAGGTAACTAGGTCTTTTCCATTATTCAGTGAATATTCTTCCCTAATTGAATCATTAGTAATTCCCCAGAGTGCCTAATCCCAGCATCTTTCACCATTCTATTTCCCAGAATCTAAATCTCTTCATTTTCTGAAGATCACTTTGCCTCATACTTAGAAGACTGAGTTCATGTATGAGCTCTACCAATTCCTCATTTCTCTACAAACACCTTTTCCCTTTCTCTAACTTTCCTTTCTTCTCTTTTCTCAGAGGCTAACACCTCCAATTATACCCTTAATCTCATCTTCTACTGCCTCCTCTGTGATTTTTAGTTATCCCATTTCATGGTAGGCCTATAATCTTTTCCTCTCTGCCTAAGACCTCTCTATCCTATAAACAACAACTAAACAAACCTTTCTTCCACTTTGCTTATCTCTCAAGTTTCTTTTCTGTAAGTTTTTTGGAAGTGTATTGTTCTTTTCCTTGACATAATTTTTAATTCCTAACAATTTAGCCTTTACCCTTACCATTCCTTTGTAACTAACCTCTCAAAAGTCACTGGTATGGAATCCACTGATAACTCAATCCAATAGCATTTTCTTTTTGTAGCATCTGACAAGGTTGATGACACCATATTTCTGGAAACCAGAAATGTTTCCAGATTCTGAATGGAATCTTTTGTCTGCATGCCCTGTTTCTTTAACTGCAAATTTGAGCCTTTCTCTATGTTTTCTGGCTATTATTTCCCTTGTCCAATATCTTTACTATAAATATTCTCCCCCCATTTTTCCCCATATACTTTTACATACCCCCTTTTAATAGAATTTTCCTGGTTTAAAATTTTTTTCAGTGTGAATAGCTCTGAAATGAATGAATATTGAATTTTTAGGCCTATATTTCCTGTTTCGGCTGGACTTATTCATTTAAATTCTACAATTACATCAAACTCAGCAGATCCAGAACAGAATCAATGTTTTTCTCCTTCCCTAAATTGTCTTTTTGGATTTATGTATACATATACATAAATATACACACCTATATATGTTTACATATATTATGAATACATATATCATGAGTTTATATTTACACATAAATTCTTTTTATTTTTTTTTTTGAGAGGACTTCTTACTCTGTCACCCAAGCTTACGATGGCATGATCTTGGCTCACTGCACCCTCTGCCTCCCAGGTTTAAGCAATTCTCCTGCTTTAGCTTCCTGAGTAGCTAGAACTACAGGCACTTGCCACCATGCCTGGCTAATTTTTGTATTTTTAGTACAGATGGGGTTTCACTATGTTGGCCAGGCTGGTCTCAACTCCTGATCTCATGATGTACCTGCCTTGGCCTATATTTTTATTTTTTAAAAAGCCATGATCTAAAAGATTTAATAGTATATATGTATAAAAATTGGGAATATTATCTAAAAGGTTATTTTAATTTATCGACCTATTTTTATTTTATGGTATTCCCATTCCTTCTTATAGAGCCAGATTTCTAGCTAATATTTTCAGCACTTAGAACTTCTTTTAATAATTTTTTTGTAGAGAAAGTCTCCCAAAGATGAAAGATGAATTATTTCACCTTTTGTCTAGCCAAAGATATCTTTATTTCATCTTCAGTTTTGAAGGATATTTTTACTGGATATAGAAATCTAAATTGACACAGTAGTGTTTTTATTCCTCCTTTTAACATTTAAAAATGTCATTCCATTGTTTCCTGGCCTCCACTTTTTCCTCAGGAGAAATCATCTGAAATTCTTATCATGCTTCCTTTTATTGTTTGCTTCTACATATTTTTTCTGTTTTCACTTTCAAGTTTATCTTTGGTTTTTGACAGTTTCACTTTGATGTTTGTCTAGCTCCATTTAACAAAAAAGACCTTCTGCTTAGATTTTTCTTAGATTTTTGGATATATTTGTTATCTCATTAATGTTAGAAAATCCTCAGCTGTCATCTCTTTACCTATTTCTTTCCTCCATTTTTTCTCTTGCTTTTGGACTCCAATTATATACATATATTAGGCCATTCGGTGTGTTCCCTTTTTTTTCTTCATCCATTTTTCTCTCTGTGTAACAGTTTGGGTCATCTTCTCTTGAGACTGATTCTTTCTTTGGTGTGGGCTTTGGCTGAAAAGTTTATTAAATTAACATTTCATCTCTGATACATTTTTCATTTTAGGATTTCCTATTGGTTTTTTAAAATAATTTTCTTTCTACTTTTTATCTCTCTACTGGGATTTTTCATGTATTTACCCATGCTATTTTCCTTTTCCTATAGATCCTTTAACTTATTTAGAACAATTATTTTTAAATAATTTCTTATATGTATTCAGTATTATATCTAGGACTGCTTGGTTTGGTTATATTTAGTATTTAGTATTGCACTAATGATGATAAGTCCTATTTTCCATTTATGTGTATGTGTATGTGCCTGCACTTTGTATAATTTTGATTAACTGTTGGATATTGTGCTTAAGAGGACAGTATATTCTGAGGTAAATTATACACATACTCAGAAATAAGCATGCTGTCCCTTCTGTCAGGCTGTTAGTATAAGTGGTTGTGCCAGTGTCTTTGTCATATAACAGGGTTTGAACTTTGTTTTTGCTTTAGTTATGTTCAGTGCACTACAGGCTTTAAATTTCCCTGGTGGAAAACTGCCCTCACCTGTACTTGGTATAAGGCCTGGTTACAAGAGATCGTCTCAGTTTTCCTGTTGCATTTTTCTACAGACCTATATGCCCAAAACACAGAAGGAGCCTATTTTAGTACTTCTACCCCTCCATCAGCATTAGACTGTTTTATCTGGTACTCTGTGCCAGGCCTTTCTACAGCTCTATCCTCAGATTTAGACAGGCTCTGGGTTCCTAAAATGATGGAGGCTTCCATCAATGCCCTTCCTCTCCCGTGTGTCAGATTGTCACCTCCTATCACTGGGTGTAAGAACCGGTGAGTTGGAGAGCGTACATAGACAGTCCCTGAATGCCTGCACCTTAGACGGGTTTACACTCAGCGACTCTGCCCTTTTCTTGTGGCAGGCAATTAGGTCTCATATAAAGTTTGGAGTTTGGAGGATTTTTCTTGGTACTATTGATCTATCTTTAAACTTAGGGAGGCCTTTTTGTTCATCAATTTATTTTGCAACTTTGAGTCTCTAATGGGCTCAAAAATTATGATTCTGTAAGCTATTCAATTTGTTCATTGTTTAGGTGGAAGCAATGATTCTTGCACTTTTCTATATCCTAGACAGAAGCTGAATTTCTCTACTGCATCTTATCCTTAACTCTCCCTTAGATTTGGCTCTCCTAGGAACAAGAAAACTAAGAAAATAATTTGAGTTCAAGTAGTTTATTTGGGAGGTGATCTCAGAATACCCCAGTAATGGAATATGAAGAGAGACAGGTAAAAGAATGAAGCCTAGACAGTATGTTAACAAGTGACTGTGGTTCAATCCCTCTGGGGACTTCTGGAAGACTGTAGGAAATCAAATTTTGTGAGTAAGCTGGGTATTTATTCACTAACTCTCATCTGCAATTGATGAGCTTCTCTGCTGTGGGCAGAGCATGCTCTAGATCAAAAAAGGCAAAGAATCACAAGTGCTCCCAATAGAAGGTTGTTGACATGATCCCAGTGTGGGCAGGCGTAATAGTGTCAACAATGTCTGCTATAAACTTTCCATTGACATTTATTATTTTTCTTCTCAAATGTATGGGTGTACTAGAGTCTGATGTTATTGAGAGGAGGAATTATGCCTGATTTATCTTTGTATTCTCCCAGCATGGTGACTTGGATATAATATTCAGAAGGCACTCAATCAATATTTATTAAATGAGAAAATATAATTTATATAGTACCCATATGAAGAATTCTGGTTAACTCTTCTCTATTTCCTCCCAAGTCCATATACTCACCCCAATCCCAATTACTCAAACAATATAATTTAATCTTTTAATTGCCAAAAAGATAAAGTCACCAGGCTGGTGGGGATATTTTTTTAGTCACGCTGATTTTCCAGCTAACTTAAGTGTATTATCATTTTAAAATATGATTTCCAATTCTAAGATTTATGTAACAGATATTTTATATTACTTGCAGCCAACAATGATACG